CATTAGACGTCGGCCTCGCCCAGGAAAATATTAATTAGAATTTTTATGTTTTATGCAGATATTCTATCTAGAAGTATTCTTTTAGTTAGTACTTAAAGCAGTGATTTCGTACCGCACACATGCCCCCGGTCTTGAAAAATTGTTGCGCACGCTGATTTTTTTTTATCAAATTGTTTTCATAAATACTCAACTAATTTAAGTTTTAAATTATCAGACTACAAATTAATATGCAATATTACGTTAAAAAAACTAATTAGTGCGTAGCTGTTTCCAAAATACTATTTTCCAATATAAACCAAAAAAGTAAATTTGATATAAAATTGATTTTTTCATAAAATTCTATGTTATTTTATAGCCAATATGGCTAATATGGAGTATTTATGAAATTAGATTGTTAGAAAAAAATTAAGGAGACGCAATAATTTTTAGAAAAAAGGGGGTTGCGCGGTACGAAATTATTGTTTCTGTACTAAACAGTCTTATCTGATTTAATATGAAATATTTCAAAATTTAGATCATGAATAATTTAAAATTAGCTAGTATTTCATATAGAACTTTTTTCCATAGTTCTAATCCCTATACTAATACAAATACTTATAAAATACTAATTTCTATATTACATAACATAGTAAACTTGCACAAACCTTTTCTCTGCATTTTGTCCATCTCTACGACGAAGCACCTGAAACAAACAAAAAAATAAAATCATGAAATCTTGACTTGTATTAATTTATAAAGCCTTACACTTTTATATTTATATTTAAAATATAATTGCAATATATTTTAATTTTTAACCTGAGTAAATTTCTACTACCTCCCCGGATTGGCATTCGATTTAGACATTTTAAGAACTACCAGAAATTATCCGATGTTCCATATAGAATAGGTTGATAAAAAAAATGTGTAACAAAATATTTAAAAAAAAATTCAATTACGATATTCATTTTTCCTCAAATTTACATCCAGTACGTGCGTTCAAAGAACAAGCCGTCGACTATTTAAAAAAATCAAATACTATAAACAAAACAAACTGAATACCCAGTATAATATACGATTCAAAACAAACGTATAAGACAGTGGAAGCGCGCGCCGAATTCCTCTTTTTTCGAGAGACAAATAAAAAACTACATGTATTTTGAAAACAAAACCATGATATTTCAAAGCAACAATGGGTCGCCGCGGGCTATTATCTAAAACGGAGCGTTTAGCAGGTCATCAGGGTGTGAGCATTATGTGCTTGTAATTTGCTTTTTGTGTTATTATGAAAGGAAATTATAGTAATTATAGTGGATGGATTATATACGAGGTAACCAACAGACAATTGTAAGTTTTCATTCTGGATTCAACATTCTAAACGATGGTTTGAAACCTATTCTACAATTTGTAAGCGAATATATTTTGAGATCAACCCATCTTGCTTTCTGGAAAAAAATCTCCCAGTTTTTTTAATATCTGCAAATATTTCATATGACACATCAGCAAAGTTTTGGCAGTGGGGGAAAGTCCCCGAGTCACGGACACATAAGGTTATTATAAATAAATCAAAAAAATATTTTACGAAATGTTTATTAAATTATGACTTATGTTAGATAACAAAGATAGAAATCAATCTACATTAACAAAAGGCAACCTTTGCTAAAAAATAATTAATACTATCAATCAAATTTTGGTAACAAGAAATATGACTTTACAAAGTGGCACCTAGTACCGGACATTTCAAAATAACCAGTATTGAACACATAGGTAGCCATCTCCATTCTGTGGAGTGTCTGCACATGTGTGTAATTATACAATAATATTTTTTTTAAATTTAATTTATATTTTATCATTCACAATTCCCAAGTGTCTTATCTCTAAAATCGCATCACTTGCATGAGATCAGTTAACGACCATATAATTTCACGGAACAAAATTAACATGATTGAAAAATAAAACTAAGAGTTTTTAACATGCACATGTTGCACTGAATATGTTATAATTATCGTGTTACAACGCTTTAAGTATGCCCATAAAAAGCATATGTTAAATTTTGCATAATCCGTTATGGAAGAAAACATTCAACACTTTTTATATGAACTTCAAAATGATTACAGTAATATTTCAATGTAAGGAAGTATTTATTAACATTTTGCATAGACAAAAATAAATTTTAAAATAATATTTAAATTGTGGTAGTTTTCCAAAATACATCAACAATTCGTTGATTGATTGATTTAATCTACCAAGCCTTCCTGGGAAATATTTCATTCTTGAGTTTCTTTCTTAAGTCAATTTCCTATAAATTCAAAAAAATTTTTTGCGATGTTTAGGAGCAAACTTGGGCAAGATTCTGAAGATACATTGAAATAATCAGCAAAATGCCATGAAGATTAACTCCAAGAAAAACTACTATCACCAACAACAACTATTTTATAAATCCATTAACCATATTTTTAAGTAATTTTGAGAGGAATCATTGATGAGTTTTGACACCATCTACAAATGATTATATCCATTCTGTTTTTATAAAATCATACATCGACAAAGGATAAGTTGGCACCAAATAAGTCCATATCCACGTGCCAAAGTTCTGCTATTCAGTTTTGCATCTGTATCCACCAAAACTTCATGATCCACATCCATAAAGCCTTCGACTACGTCGGTTTCCGACATGTTGATGTTTGGAAATGTATCTGAATTATGGATCAGCTTAATTGGTCAGCTCTCTACTATACCATGGTAATTCGTTGATAAAACCCGGAAATCCACAATGCATGTCGTTGGCAGGTAGAGCTTTCCATGTGCCAAATCATTTATTATGAAAATGATAGCCCGATGCCGGATTGCTTCTGTATTATTCAGATTTTTTAATGGAAAAAGGATAGAAATCGTATGAAATGAATCTCAGTTTTTATATGGAGTTATATGACACCAATCAAAGTGGTAAATCAAACCCATGATTATTTTATGATCCACTTAAATATCATAAACTCATCTAATTACACACCCATCCATTACAACCTCGTTCAACATATTTATTTCTATATATTAATTAATTCGAATACGATAGTCATTAAATCATATAAGAAAATCTTAAATCCATTAATCTATGCTATATACGATTATTCATATACGTAAGAGAGATTTCTATCGACGAGAATAACTTGCAGTAGCAAAGTTTTTAATTCCCATGTTAGTAATGTGAAATTGAATATTCATTTCAAATATGCAAATGAGTAGTAAACTTAGATTTTAAAGCCGATGCAAGTCGCATTTGATATATAAAGCATATTTAGAATTATTTATATTTTGCATATATTACTGATGGATAATTCTGTAATGAATATTTACTTGTAAAATCGCAAGGAGATGGTACTTATATTTAACTGTTTGAAATTATGTAGTTATCGGTAGAATGAGGTTCAGATTTTCATAAAATTCAAAAGTTATTGTACTTACTTCAGAAAATTACTTGATTATAAGCACTACTTAAAGTATTTTTTAATTAGCTAGAGAGTCATCAAGTTCTAATTTGTCATGATCCATGAAAAGTATTATTTTGCTACCATTTTAGCCAGTATATTTAAGGTTTTTCTATTTCACTGAAGAGAATTATATTACAAAGCCCTAAAAATAAATGGAGGGGAACAAAATTTAAAAAATCAAACCCTCCAATTCATGCAGTCACTTTGTAAGCCGTTTACTCAAACAAATATTGACTTGGGGTCTAAAGCTGACATGAGGAATAAGAAAAGCGGCTAGAAATTTCTCCTACTTTGCATGTGGAACGAATTTACCAAATACTCTCACAAATAGTGCTGAAAATCGGATTCGCAATAGAATGACAAAATTTAATTGGTATTCCAGAATTTGTTTTAGAATCTGGCTAACTTCCAAGAAATTAGAATTTAAAGCAAAGACTTCAACAATTTTGCATTTTATTAGATTATATATTCTATATTGGTAAGAAATCATAATCATAAGATTATAAGATCAATTTTAAGCTTTTGGGCCGAAACTATATTGAGTTTCATTTTTATATTTTAATAACTCTTGATGATCCACTTCCTAGTGGCATCCACTATTCTAGTGTATGCACAAAATTATAAATTTAAAATTTATTTTATGTAATACTTATTTATTTATAAATTGGTTTTACACGACTACATTGCGGATATGAGTTGTGAGCAGTTTTGTGATCTCGCGCCATTTCGAACTTTGTCAATATTGAAGTTCTGAAGAGCTTTTGATAAAAGCACACACGCGAGATAACGTACACAAAGTATGTGCTTATTTGTCGAAAGTTTAATATTTAATTTTAACGTTTATTATATTCAGAGGAATATTTAAAGTTGTACTCTTTGTTTAAATAAAACATTACATACGACCTAGCTTCTGTGTCAATAATTATATTTACCCGGTTTCAAAAATTATCAAGTGGCCTAGCCAAATGTTGATATTAAACTTTGGATTTCTGAAGGAAAACTTGAGATATTTAATAGTAATTATGATTAAAATAAATAGTTAAAAACAAATTGAATTATATAGAAGACACACATAAAATAAATGTCCTGGCAGCATAGACCACACACCTTTCAATTATCAGAATATTATATTTTTTCACGAGTTTTTTGTCTCATATAAAAGAATTTACAAAAATAAAACTGGAACTAAAATGTGTGTAATACACTCTTGACAAAAATGTAAAAAGTTGTCAAAATATTTTCATAGAGTTCTTATAAATGATGGTGCACTATATTTTTGGGCAAAGCTTCTGAAGGTTTGCTTTGCCAATAAGCATTAAATTATTTTGAATTGTGCAGCATTACGAATATAAAAACAAACCTAGATTTATTTTTATAAAATATAGCTTATGTTTTAAAATTTAATTATAACAAGCAATTTTGCAAAGGATTAGCAGAACTCTTCCAACTATTTTCTAAATAATGTCAACTGTTGTTTGTATTTTTATCCTTTGTCATATAAAAATAGTAACATGATGTTTTTTCATTTATTTTCAGAAAATGAAAGGCAACACAAACACGTATTTGGAATCAAAACAAGAACTTGATCCTCCCATATGGGCGAGTAAAATTAGATTCTTTCCCTATAGTTACCACAGAAGAACAGTTTGCATGAGAGTTGAAATTTACGGTTGCTACTACAATGGTAAGAAGATAGCAAATTGCTTATTTTATGAAATAAAATTATGAAAGACAGTATTTTGAAATCATTAATATTTTTCCATATTTATCTAATCACTAGTACATTTGTATTATATTAAGAAATTGATTACATACAATTTATTGTTAAGATCTTGCAAATACATTTTTGAGGAGTTATAGGTTCAAAGAAAACTAAATTAATTTAAAAAAATAATTTATATTGGATACGTGATATTCATTTACAATACCAATTATTCCCCAGCCCAATAAATTGTGGCTTCCGTTTTGGGTCGTTTTTTCGAGACCTCATCAACACGATAATTTGCAATAAATTTTTGGCGATTGCGAAATCATTTTTTTAATTGTTTCCAGATGGAATTGTGAGTTATTCGATGCCGCAAGGCGATAAACGGGGATCCGGGTGGGAATTTTACGATGCAACATATGATGGCCATTGGGCCCAAGGAGGTCTCAAGAGAGGATTGGGTCTTCTCACAGATGGAAGGTAATAATAATAGAATTCAATCAATTTAATAATAATTTGTCGATTTTCATTTGTCATCATTAATGATTTGTTAATTCGATTTTCCAGATTTGGGCCAGAGAATTTCAAAATGGGCTATTATGATCATGAGCGTGCCCAAGGTTGGGTAGGCTGGAGGAATGATACCAGGAATGGTAAACCAGTGGAGATCACTTTTGAATTTGATAGGGTTCGAGAATTTTCAGCAGTGCATGTGTATTGCAATAATCAGTTCACAAGAGATGTTCAGGTAAGAAAAAAAAATCATATTTGTTCACATTGATTCAAAGCGTTTATTTTGATAAAATTGAGGGTCGAACCTTCAGCCTAACAATTTTTGCAATTGATCTTGGCATTTCAGTTAGGACATAAGAATTATTTCATAACTAGTAATTAGGTTAATTAAAAGACCTCTACGAAAAATTAATTTTTATATTATTTTAAAGGAATCAAATGGTAGAAGTCTCAGACGTCAGAAGTGGGATTAAAATAATTTATAACTAAGATTCGATTCTTGTTTAACAATGCTTCTGATAATATAACGTGGAAATCATCTATTTACCAAAATACGTCATTATCCTATTTCAAAATTAGATAGTATCCTCTTCAGGATCATTTATATCAGTGTTTGTACATTTCCTTACGATCCGCCGCCGGCATGGAGGTAGTGGTAAAATCATTGTAACTCGCTCTGTTCACATAAGAAGATAAGTGCGATAGCACATGTTTCGACTCAGAATTTAATTAGCAATCAAGCTCGAAGGGTTTTAAGCTAATTATATTGGATTAAAGCGAATTACTTAAATCGTTACACGTGATTCTGCATAATCGCGTCGGGGGGAGAAACTTGCCCGAGACGAGGCGATCAGTGACTTTGCGGGTCGTAAAATAAAAAAGAGCTTCATATAGTTTTTATTTATATAATTTTTGTTGCATACAACGCTCGCTTTAATTTTACGATGGCGGTAAATTATGGTAAACGCCAACGGCTTAAAGAGTTCATGTATTAAAAGGAATTGCCGCGCTTACTGCGTTATCCTTTAATGCGGTTTATGGTATTCTCGTGTTTAAATTTTATTATAATATATTTTATATTGTACCTGGAGCTTATATTTTGTATAACGGATACCGTATAGGATCGATATTGAAATAAAATTCAATCAGGATTATCACATGCTGGAGTTGATTGCGTATTGCAGACTTCCATGGAAATGAATACTAAATTGATTACCTTTCATATGTTTCAAATTTTGGATTTATTTGATGACGACGATTTAGGTATTGAGAGGTAGTAAGATTTTAAATTGCAAACTTTATAATTAATCAGATTATAATATATTTTATATTGTACCTGAAGCTTTTATAATATCCAGGCAGGAGTTGAATGTGTATAGCATGGTTGTATAAAATATATACTAAGGAATAATTTGATTTGGTAAAATTTTATGTTGTAAGTATTTTTCATAATTTTTAATACAAAAATATAAATATATTGCAAAATTCGTACCATTTCTATTAATATCTTGCTTCTATTTCAAAAATATTTGAAGTCGAAATCGTACCCAACATATTATTTATCTATGCTATTTTGCAGTTTAATTTTCAGTTTTAATTAATTAATCCAAATTTGAGTTCATTCAAAGATGATTTTGCTATAATAGGAGAACGGGATCTTAAAAATATTATTTTAAAATCTATTATGGATTTATATGAATGATTAATTATAGGAAATAAATAAAATTTCTAAGCTGATACCTAACATTTACCTTGCAAATGTCAATAAAATCTAATTTCACTATAAATCACATTTAACATCGTTACATGCATTAAGGATAAAATTGGAAAAGGGCAAAAGTTGATACATGAATAATATGCTCAAATTGATTATCTTAATGTTATTGTCATATCTTTTCAAACTTATATTTATGGCATTTAGAGGCCAATTCTTCAATAAAATAGATCACAACATAGCTTTGTTATGGCAACGCTCCTTTATTCCTATAAATTGATTGTAAAAATAATCAAAATGCCATATAATTACTGTACGATCAAACGTTTTACACATAAATCCTAACTTTACGTATGTGTTATCATGACACGTTAGAAAGATGCAGTTATAATAACATTCATTTTTATATTTGTGCGTGTCCTAGGTTAAGTTTTATATCTAAAACTCTTGAATGCACAGTAAATTCATAGCATTTTGCCAGCTTCTAGTACCATTTTATATGAAAAAGCATCGTAACTAAGCGTTTCCATAACATTGATTTATTTTGAGGTAGAATTGGCGCATTAATGTTGTCATATATTTTTTCAGAGCATTGAAATTGCAATTTTCAGAAATTGAAAAATTTCAGAGCAAAGTATCACTATTAAAATATTTAGATAAAATTCATTATTTCCAAACAAAATCATTATTATTAATATTAAGGTAAAATTCTCAGTGTTGCAATTAAAATAATTTTAAATTGCCTTTATATTTGAGATTACTATTTTTTTCATATATTACGCTAATTATTATTTCCTAATACACCATATCATTCATTTGCTATATTTTTACACCATATTCACTTCATACGAATTAATCCTTATACCTTATATATTTTTACTACGATTGTCGAAGGATTATCGCGCGTACTTAACGCATCTTCCCGAGGATTTCACATGTTAACCTAACCTTAATAGAGTCCACAGAGGACATGTTGCGAATATATACGAGGTAATAGGATTTGCTGTTTGGATTTGGACAATTATGGGATTAGTGTTATGTATCTGATTCATGTGGATGCTACAATCAATAGAGCAAAATAGATTACAAATACAGAACTCAATTTATTTTCAATATGTCGTCACTAAGATGTCACTATTCAGTGGAATTGAAGTCGACGCTTGCTATTCATTGACCTATATAATATATTATAAACATATAGAGTTCTAGTAATAATTAATTGAAACTTTGAATTATTGGTTTAATAGACCATATACAATTTGGCAAAAATAATATTTTCAAATGTATTCGGTGTACTTGCAAAAGAACTTGGTGGTGCGTTTAGTCGTACATGATTTTCATTTTTATGATATTTTTGTTTCTCTCTGAATAAAAACTAAGATAAATACATCTCTTTGATATGTGTTTCCAACATGTTAATAAAACACACTGGCCGTTGTTTTACAATACAGACAAAGACCAAAGGCATTGTTTTATCTAGTTTGTCGTTACATATGTTTCGGCATGGTCTACTACATTGTGCACTACACATGCCCCAGGGAAATGTAGATGCTATTTTTCGATTGAACTATTTTTTTTACTTTATGTCAACCCGATGCAGTTTTAACTAAATAAACATGGATGGACGTGCGCAAAAAATATATTTCCTGACAAAAATCCAGCGGTGGAAGATTGAAAGTTTTGGGTGAAATGTTTTATGATACTTTTACACTCAAAGTTTAAAATGGGAATCGTTACAAAAAGACAAAATATTGGAAATAATTTTATCATAATAATATTTTATATCTGTTTATCTATATTCTCATGTCAGCACTGATAGTTTTCACTTCCCCATATAATATTCTAGTTCAATATACTTGACAGCTGCTGCAAGTCCACGTATATTTTTGTAGACACCAATCTCGTTGTGTAAAGCTCAACTATGTTCGAGAACTGGGTACAAAACCAATCCCTTCGGTTAGTGTAGGGTTTACCATAAGCAAAGGGTTAGAAGTTGAGGAAATCCATCTTACTTAATTTGCATAAAAAGTTCGACGATGTGACACGATCTTGGGCAAATTGAAGGTAGAATTATAAAGGTCAGAAGGGTGCACTAAATTTTTATAAAATGTGCCATTGTTTAATTAGATTGAAGAAATAGATGGTTTTATTAATCGCGATCTAGAATATGTGGTTTATGGAAACTTTTGGGAGTTAAGCAAATGTAACCAGCACAAGAAATTTTAAGTTGGTCCAATTTTGTGGAATCTATTTATCACATAATTTGTTTATCATAACCAGTTGTGGCTGTAGATAATTATATTATCTGCACATAGATGCAAATTGAGGTTAACAAAATCAAGATGTAAAGAACTAGATGCATATAGGTATGTGAAGAAAAGATGAACAATACATAAATGCAAATTCCAAAACTGGATTCGAGGTATAGCCCTGGAGCTTTCCTATGCAAAACGTTCCTCCGGTGAGCAAAGCAATCGGAAAACACATGCATGTATTTTCTATTTTTCTCACAGTGTGTTAGTAGAACGTAATGTACCGAGAAAACCAACTGCCATCTACTCGACCACGTTTCGACTGAGCTGGGCGCTTTTTGCTTTGTGAGATTTTAATTTATTATGCATTTCACTTACGAGCAACGTCGACGCTCTTCTGCAGTACACAGTAGTAGATGCAGTCAGCCAAAGGCGCGATGCAAGTAACAAAAGAGCCGAGGAAAAAGTTTGGAAAAAACTGCACAACGGATGAAAACTTACACGTACAATGGACAAAGGACGAACTTTGATGTGTCGGAAACAAAGGGAATTATTTATCACATGTGTTATGGGATTATTTATTTAGGTGTTCGTATTGTAAGAATGCGAGGATTTCTGATAATTAATATCACTTCAGTCAGCGTTGTATTTTTAGAACTACGAAAAATATAATTGTTGCAAATACTTCTCTAAAGCATATATTCAACTTTTTCGGTACAAGCATTGTCTATATGTGATATATAGATGTGTCAAAATTATTGATGAATCAAATTCCAAATTATTATTATTTGGCGGCTTATGGCTCGTATAGCAATAGCACTCCTGTGGCAAACAATTTTGCAGTAGCGAAAAAGTCAAATCTGACCCATAAAATTTATTTTATAAGATTCTAAATAGCAATATAATAAAATTACTTTTCAAGTATTATAATCAGAAGTTCACAAGTATCTTACATATTTGATCACACGTTTTGTTCGAGTTTGAGGCGATCCCAGTTGTTTTATATCCTTAAAAATAGCAATCGAGATACAGCAGGTCTTGTAAGATTTCGTAAACATATTTAATATAATTACGGTATTGCTAATTTTGTTTATGCTATCAAAATATTATCTCTTAAAAGCATTCTTGGATATTCCATCCACCCAACCATGAAATTTTCCTCGTTATCTAAATGAGATTTAAACCGACGAAATTTTTTAAAAATTAAGTGTAATTATTTTCATTCCTAAATCTGCATTTGGTACGATTTATCACTTTAATCTAGACCAAAACAATGTATTCTAAATGTAATCAAATTACATTCCCTCAAAAGAATTCTTTATCCATCCACCGGACCATGAAATTTCCTTCGTTATCTGAACGAGATTTAAACTTTCCCAGAACGAAGTAAATTCGAAGAATTAAAGTCAGTGTCCATTTAACTCTTTATCCCGTCGAATCGAGTAATTGGCATCTGGCATACACAGACATACGATATGTGTATGGCAGAACTCACACCTAGCTCTCTCTATTCGCATCGGATCAATTTACCTGTTAAAGGAACGATCACTAATTAATGCTGCCAGCCGAACCATCGCATCGAGAGACGAGCTCTAAACCAAGATAGATGTATTCTCTTTCAAGGGTGAATTATATTTAGTTTCCAGTGCTATTTAACACTGACGAATTTCTCCGAACGAACGTTTTGGTAATTAAAATTCAAATAATGTATTGGGAAAGTAATTTTGTTAGTTTGGGAAACTACAATTTGGCACGATGCAAGAAAGAATATTTAGAAAATGGTAAAGGCAGAAAAATTTAGAAATAGATAGCACACATTAGAGAAGACAAACATTATTTACAATCCACTTATCTTAAAATTCAAACCAAAAATAATTAGTGAGATTTATATTTTTTAATAACTTAAATTATATCCAAAAGCAGATTATTATATAATTTGTTAATGAATAAGTTTTTAATGAATCTACATTATAGTATTTGGAAGGAACTTTCTGAATATAATAATCTTTTTTAAACATATAATTATAAAAGCAATGAAAAAAGGAAACTAAAAATCACTTTTTTTCTTTCACAACTCATTTTCCTTTTGCAGTATGCATAATTGAATAACAGTAATTAAACTATGCCGATATCTCAAATATATCTAGCAAAGAATAAAATTATAGTCGATGAAAAATTTTATTATAAATTAAATATACTTATTGTACAACAGCTATATCTTCTAAAAATGTACTATCTGTAAAAAGAAAAAAGGAAAAAAATTTGGAGGGTAAAATGTAAAAAAATGGCATCTCGTGGTCTAAAACTACCATTGAAAACCATTATTATTGATTCATACGCATGTATAAATATTGATAAGCAAGTGACAGGTAGACAGGTAAATAGGTAGCCAAGTGGGCAGGTAGACAGGCAAATAAGTAGACAAATAAAAAGACATATAGACACGTGGGCAGGCTGAGAGGTCAAAATGTAGACAGATATTCTGGTGGTCAGGTAGGCAGGTTGAAAAGTAGAAAAGTGGATAACTTTAGGACAAGGCAGTTTACTTAAACTAGAGAAATAAGAGACATTATTATACAGGTACATCATATACATAACAAATATTCACAGATTAAATCGATTATTCACACATAACGGCAAGCCTTAGGATAAAATGGCACTCACATCTAGTTTTATTTAACTCCCCGTAGGGAAGTTCTAGTAATTGTTCAAACTTGAAAATGAAAATTTTTACATAATTTCATATTTCAGATATTTCTAAAAATTTTGGCATACCTTAGAAAAAATGGATGTGTATGTATGTATGGATACAATTTTTCGTCCACGTTTTTGGGCGCACGGATCAACCGATTCGAATGATTCAAAAACCATCCAATTTCTATTGAATATAAATATCGAGTACATCTTTAAATATTTAATACTTGTATTTAATTAAAACTAATTCATTTACAAATAAATTTCAACTCTACCTTTTGAGAATCCTTTTCCCATCTTTACCGCAATTACATACCGACTAGGATCTATCGTCTGTACGAGGGTTCGAATATTATCCGCGCCGATTGTAAATGAGTAGCGTGCAAATTCGAGTGAAATTTGTCAGTAATTGTTACTTTCCACATGACTTTATATAGAACTTCAGTAGCATGCTTTTGAAGTGCTATGCTAATTATTTGATAGGAAATAATTCTTGCTAAAAGGTTGGAAATTTGAGACAACCTCTGTTTTGAGGATATTGTTGTTGAATGGGTTATCATGCTACGATGTAATTACATAGATTGGCCATAAATGATGGATATAGGTTTATGGGCTATACATTATGGGTAGTGGTAATATGTATTGATTATCAATTATTTTGGTTTATGTAAACTAATAATGTAAATGCTCTTGAGAAAGTATCAGTGCAACTGGAAAGAAGGCCAAAATGAAAGGTTTTCTTATATGTTTTCTTAAGCTATCAGAATAGCCCACATAATTGTGAAAAATTATTAATTTCCATTATATATTAATACGTATCTTGTTTCATTTCAGGTCTTCTCTGATATCAATGTAACATTCAGCATCGGTGGTGTATATTATACTGGAGAACCAATAACTTACAGCCCGATGGAAGATAGGATTTTTGAAAATTCTCGAAATGAAACCATCAAACTTCATCATCGAATCGGAAGATTTGTTAAATTGCAAATGTCATTTGCTGCAAAATGGATAATGATTAGTGAAGTCATGTTCGATTCAGGTCAGTAATAGTAATTGAATTATTAAAAATTTAGCATGTCTTGGAATACCTGAATTTAGGAAGAATCTGGTATCTTTTGATATACTGAATGTGTGCTTATGAGTGAGTGGAGAATTTCAGACATAAATTAGAATTTTACAGATTTTTATATATCATTATGAGTATGAGTATACAATCATACCTGTACGTCGAATCACTGGATTGGCGTTAGATTTGGACATTTTAAGTACTATCAAAAAGCTGCTGATGTTCCATATGGAAAAAGTGCAGATATTGAAAAAAAATCATGACTAAGTAACATTAAGTAATGCAATACTAGAACTTAATAAAAAGTTTCATCTTCTGTGGACAGCACTACTTCTAAACCTTTTATACTCGTTTTAAACCATATAGAGTTCTTTCACGTTATAATGCAATATCTATAAAATATGTTACCCCGGAACCACGTACATAACCCGTAACTGAGGAAAGTCATAAATCAAATCAGAAATTGAAAAAAATGTTCGCGACACAAACAAGTAATCCATCATACAGGAGTCCGTTGCTGGACGGAACAATTTCCTTTTAGTAAACCCGAGGTCAAAAAAGGGTACCATCAGTATTATAAAATCGACTTGTAATATCAGAAGAAGAAATTGCATAGCTCAAGATCGCATCGTGAAAAGAAATATGAACCGTAATAATTTTATGCCATTGGGATTGCAGAATTATGATTTAAAATGCAGTCGCGGGTGTAATTTATATAAGTTTTTTATTGTACACAAGTTATTATGTTTCGGATGATATTGAGATATTCTCTTGTCGATATGGAGTTGAAACATTTATTGCTAACATAGATATTTTATTGTTTTTTTTAGTTTACGAAGAATGGAAAAAATTTTTAATATCAGCAAAGTACTAGATTTCTTATTTACATTTAACATGAAGCTTTAGCACTTTTAAAATTTCAATTTTAATATTTGAATCTGAACAAATGCTGATTTAATCAATGTTGAAGCCTTTAGACAGAAAAAAATTATAGGTTTTTTTTTCTTTTATTCCTCAAGATTTCAATTATCATAAGCACGTAAGTAGAGTACATTTTAATTTATCGATTACTAACAATAATTTGATATTTAAGTTAAGGCTTTGATCAACCCACCTATTGTTTAGACGACCTGCCTTACCAAAAACTTAGTCAAATTTTTATTCCATCAATACAAGTAAAACAGTTTTTTGAATCAATCAAATCGGGTGCACTTTCAAAAGCTGAATTGCCATTTTATGCACTTTTTGCCCTGTATCACCAAAACTGTTGGACCGGCTTTTCCAAACTAAAGCTATTCAGCATGTTTTCTCCCATCAATAGGAATCGAATGTTTTTTGAATCATTCTAATCAGTTATTCCGTGCTCTCGAAATCGTATCCGCGCATACATCCATCTGATTTCTTACAGCATGCAGAAATCTCTTACAAAATACAAAATCGAGCAAAAATAATACTTTTTTAGTGCAATTTCGACAGCTCCAGTGTAGCAAGTACGGAAAAACTCATAACGCATCCGCTCTCTATATTTTAGTCTGTCAAAATGACGTATTAAAAATTCCAAACACGCTCTCGAATCGCAGTGCTAATGCCAGGATCAAAAGCTCGCACGAAATTATGCCCCGTTCCATAATCTGGACGTAGATTGTAACAAGAGTTCTACAGAGGTGCACGTGAAAAATATTTTTAAAACATTCTTTATGACAAAGCATAACAATTTACGGAAAATTAAAATGTTGTTCTTTGACGCCGCGAAATTCCATCATGAGAGATAAATTTATATCACGTGGGTAGTGCAAATCGTAAAGGACATATTAGAATACTTTTCTGAATCAACAGATGAACAACTCAGATTTTCTAATCTTATAGGCCAATTCTGCCGTAAAATAAACCTATGTTATGACAAAGCTAAGTTACGCTGCGTTTTCATATAAAATGGCACTAAAAACCTGTCCAAATGCATGCTATGTGGTTGCTGTGCAGTAGGTCGTTTTAGATAAAAAATCGAACCTAGAAAGCGTTTTCTAAAAAAATGTAAATGAATTGATCTAATAATAAACCTGCAAATTTGACTTGGATTTTTATTATTACCGAGTTTCTGATTATCAAAATATCTATAAATGTATCCTCCTATTATTAGCTTATTCTCGACCGGTATTTCAATATATTGCAGACCAGACATTGCAGGTAATTTTAATTAAAATAACATCGACGGTGTATCAAACATTACATGCCTGAGCACAGATACTTCTGCCAAAAATTTGAAACGCTCGCCACGTAAGCGCGCTTTCACGTGAAATTATTAATTTAAATAGTCCGCATATCCAACGCGCGTTTGGAAACATCAACCTCGGGAACCTTTCAATGGAGGGTGGAGGGTGGAGGGCGGCTTAGAAATTCCGCCCTGTCAAAAATACCGACGAGAAATTATTATATAGGTCGCGTTTGTGTTGCGCGACAAGCATGAGGTCTTGGTGTGATTGATCATTTCACTTTTTTGGATTTATAATGGTTCGCTCTCTGACTTATTTCAGTAAAAAGGAAATATATTTTTTTAATGATTAAATGATTTTATTAGACAATTGTAGTTTTATTTAATAAAATGTTTAATAAGATTATTTAATGATCTTTTTATATCGTCTGTAATTGCATTGCTAATATAGAACTAAACTGCTCTTATTGACAAATAAATGAAACTTTAAAATGCAAAATTGTGTAAAATTTTTATCATGGATACATCAGTTTACTAACTAGATTATATTATAAACAAATAAATTCAGCATTAATATCATTGGTATAGAAAACAGTATTACTGATGTCAAATATTAATTATTACCTCTACAGTTCTGGTTAAAAATTTAGGGTGGGGCGAAGCTCGAAGGTCCATATTGACCTGAAATCAACTATAATGGTCTTAAAACTAAGTTAATTACATCAGAATAATTAAAAGTTATGAAACAAATAACTACCGATCTATGTTCAGTAAAATTTCCAAATAATTCCTAATTGAAAAATGTTTCGTAGATATTTTCTAAAATTTGTCATGTCTCTTTTTACCCCATGACAAACAGATACCATGTCTTATTTTAGATTAAATTAAATTTTAGAACGATTTTATGCAATAATAGCTAAATTATTTAAACAACTAAATAAAAATCTCATGAGTACATTTTTTGCAAATCACACCGTATATAACCTTGATCTGGTATTTCGTAAGAAATATTTTTAGTTAGATGGAATAACTATTAATTTTATTCCATCTCTTGTAAAATTGATTATTTAACTTAATGTACTTTACGATTTTTTATTGTTTACTCCTTAGTTTTAGTTGG